TGCCGGCCTGTGTGAGGCTGTCAAGTTCCCTTTGAATGGAAACACGCCATAAGTCAGCATCCGGGCCCTTGAGCGCGGCACGGATAGTCGTCGGGGTAAGTGGATGTTCTTGGACTTTGAGACAGGCACTATAGATTCGATGAACAGTGTCGTTATAAGCGGCCTGTTTTGTGGCAATAGTAGTGGTGTGTGGTTCGCGTGGGGAGGGTGGACAGGTGAGAGTGATGGGTTGTACTATGCCATCAACATCGTCATCGTCACTGGGAAAGTGGAGTCGGATTGGTTGTTGTAGCGCGGAAAGTGCCTTGTGTGTGCTAGTGCGGGTTTGTCGGCATGGTTCTGGCGTTTCGTCCGTTTAACATTTACAAGGGATCGCAAGTATTTTTGGCGAAGGTTGTACTCTTTGATGGACAGGGCCTGAGGGCATGCTGATGGATTGGTCGGTGGCTGGAATGTAAGTATGCCATTGTTCTCCATATCACAGGCCCACGATACATGTTTGGGCTGGGGAAAGAGGTGGTGGCGTGCTCCCCTGGAAGCGAGGCGGCGGATGGTGGAGAAGGTGGTGCTAAAGTGGCGGTGAACGTGGCAACATTAGTGGTGGGGATAGGGTCCTGATGCATTGGATCAACGGTAAGGTGAGACGGTGCGGGTGCGTGCGCTGATGACTCCCCTGAAATGGAGGAAGTGAGAGGATGATTACCACTATGTGTGTTTGATTTGTTGTACATACGCATGTTATTGAGTAGGGTGGGCTCCCTTAATGCACCTGTGTTACCACGCGGCTCAAGTAAGAGATCGCGGAGTGTACGGGATTCAGGATGTCGTTGGATATGTGTGTGGAAAGAGCAGGGTCTGAGTTGGAGGTGGCTTGTGTGGTGGAATATTCAAGTGGGGTAGGTAGGAGTGGACGTTGTAGATGGGACATCGAAGGTGTGGGTAGAAGGGGACTAGAGGAAGATGCAGCAGGTTTAGTGGTATCCAGAGTGGTAGTCTGTGTTTGAATGCCACGAGAAGTGGTAGTAGGTGGAGGTGTGGGTCCGGCGGTAGTGTTGCGGGTCGGGTTTAGGGCAAGGGTAAGTTTCCTAATTGTCGGAATGTCGTGTGGTGGCGTTGAGAACTGGGGAACCGGAGTGTTGCCTATCATACTTCATGTGGGAAAGACATGGTAATTAAATTTAACATCACGGGAGTGTCAAATTTTACCAGTCTTGAGATTTATAATACGGCATTCATCATAGTATGTTGATTGACGGTCGTGTCCAAGGTAGACGCCTATGTTGGCGCGGTCGTCAAGTTTGTCTGTACGGGATTGGTTAATAAAGACCACCTGACAGACAAAAGGGTGGATGTGTTTGATGCGGTCAGTGGGTTTGAAGCCCCAGAAAATCTCCCATGAGGATTTGTTGTCTTTGTTATGTTTGTTATGATGAACGGACATTTTAAGGGCGGCAAATTGTATGGCTTCACCCCACATGTTCGGCGGCATATTGGCTTGTTTCATGTCGCTGAGCGTGATGTCATATATGGCGCCGTTAGCGCCTTCGACCAAGCTATGCAATGGTGGTGTGGCAGTAGGTACATATCGAATTTGGACATGTTCCTGTGTGTTGATGTTATTGAACGTGTGGGAGACAAACTCGCCGCCCCTATCACATTTGAGTTCGCGTAATTTGGCGAGATAATCTTTACCAATATAGGTATAGAATCGATCAAGCACTGTGATCGCAACGTCTTTGTGTTTGAGGTTGTAAACGAGTGTGTAGCCGCTGTTAGCATCAACGAATTTGATGTCGCATGTATAGCCACTTGGAGTCGTTGGCAAACCGGTATGAAGATCAACATGAAAACCGGTACCTACAGGCGGACGTGTGTCGTCATCTTTGTTAATGTGTCGCACTGGACGGCGTCGCATCTTGCCTTTGACACATGGTGTACAGAAGGTAAGATTGGTAGGATGGGCAAGCGCGTCAGCTTCGGCAGTCAATAAGTCTATCGTAGGTGGTACAGCATGCTTGATGTTTCCAACACGAGCAATACATATGTAGCGCCATTTTGGGAGTCCAACGACGGTGGTGCCATGTTCTAGAAAAGTGTCCGCAGTAGTACGGATGACCTCGACATGTGAGTGTAATTGTCGCAATGTCTGGTTATAATTTTGGTGTTAGGCATAAGTGGAAAAACCATAGTGATTAGGCCATTCTCTTTGTCGAGTTTATCGAGTGTGTTACGCCATGTTGTTCGTGTGAATGGTATATTGCCATATAAACGTTTGTCTGGTTAGTGCCATCATTACGCGAATGCGTCGTAAAGTGGTGCATCATCGTTGAGCCCGGAATACATCGACACTTGAGCATTGTTGGCATCGGCGAGCAAATCTATGTCTACTGGTCCGAAGACGGTTGTTACATGTTTAGTCAAGAGTTCCGGGTTGAGCATCCAATTAGTGTGAGATGATTTTGTTTGAATTGTAGGCATGATTTTGTTTTGGAGAATTGTATCAGTGGACTTATCACTATGACCCAGTCGGTTGTGCCACTCGGTGGCTGTGTTTGTTACAAGAGTTGTTAATGAATATTGTCCATAGTGAATAGGGATAGTGTGGAGTTACTTAGTATCCTTAAGGATGTGACATTCCGGTGGTGTATCAGCATGTGCTGCTGCCGGAAATGTACATCATATCCATGTTGTTGTAAAAGTTGGACTGAAAGTATATTCTGTGCGGCCGTAGGTACAATGAGTACAGGGCCGAGACCTGGAATCGTTCCTCGTTGTCGTAGAACTATCTGGCTCTTATTGGGAAACTCAACGATGAATTGGCCTGTCTCTAAATTGTGAACGCCATCGGTGGTCGTCCTGATGTGTACCATGGCGTCAGAGTCGATGAGGGAAGGGATGAGATGGTTATGTACGGGATTTTCAGGGATGTTTTGGAGTATATTCAATTTACAGTGGCATTTGAGTTGCTCACTGGTAGTGGAGTAATGGGCATCTATATCGGTATAGGGTGTATAAGATATGCTATGAGTATTATGATCACCCTGACGTATGGCCCCGTACCTTCAGTTTTGCATGCAAGCTGCAGCGTTATGTCCTGTTTTGCCGCATTTGGGGTTGGTACAGTGGAGTGTGCTTCTATCAATCGGACACTTGTTGCCCTTGTGATCTTTAGAACCACGCTTGCGGCATATGGATTTGGACAGCCATGAATACTATGTCCAAGTTCGTCACCTATTGGACATTTGATATCCCGAGGCTTTCTTGTAGTGGTAGGTGCGGAGTGGATACCTTTTGATGTGATGAATGCATTGATACCAGATGGGCTGTTGTTGATCTGAAGCTGATAATCGCCTTCATACTTCAAGGTGGGTCTGTAGACCTCACTAATGTCAAGTTTGGTTATATCCATGGCAAAGATTGTAGACCGAAGTAGGTGATATTCATCACCGAGGCTGTATAATAGCACACAGATGAGATATTTGTCTGGGATGTGTTCACCAACATCTAGGAGACTTTGTCTTAGTTCCTCTAGCTGTTACGTACTTTGTTCAGTGGAGCCAGTAGCCGTAAATGTGGTGAGGCGTACATTGATTTAGGGTAATGGTTATGGTAAACAGTGGTAACCAATTCCTCTTTGATTGAGTCTATCATTATACGTCGGCATCGGGCATTGGCTAGCGTGTCGACACCACAAAGCTGCTCACACACAGTCGGGATGAAGTCGATGAAGAACTCCGAAGTGCGCAAGTTCCATTTTAAGACCCACGATCCATTTACTAAGGCTTTCTCAGTTTGCAAGTTTAGTACGGTTGTAAATGTCTTTGTACTTGGGGCACTCAGAAAGGGGAACACCTGGGTCGGTGGGGGTAATACCATATTTTTCGGCATAGCATGATGAATCTATTTTTATAAGGATAATATTATTTATTTCAAAGCAGTTAAGTTACAATGTTTGTACATATGGTATGGCTCTCATAGCCGTTGTAGTGGTTCGGGGAAGATCGATGGGAAGAAGTGGTCAGTATATTCTCTGTTGAAGCTTGGACCAAGTGAGTCGACAATGGAGAATATGCGCTGGGTCAATTCAGGCCGGTGCTGACAAAAAACTGACACCATCGAGTGTGCCACGTATTCGCTTTCTGACCTACTAAATAGCGTACCCACCTCTGTGGTTCGGATCGGGTCTTTATCGTGTAGTGCTGTGGAATGGGTTAGTGCAGAGTACGAAATGCCAAGTAGGACCAGGTTATCCGTCATAATTCGGTTGAGGAGCGAGGTTGGGGGTGGACCGATGCCGCACCAGACCATGGATGCACTCGGTATGTGCTGGTTTGCCTGTATTGGAAGTATCATGGGCGGAACCAACAGGCGCGATGAATTGGTTTGGACCAAAATTTGGAAGTAGTACTTCAACAGCGTGATTAGCCGGAGTATAGGAAACATCTGTTGATATGTCAGAGACGGGTGTGGGTACAGGGGTTGTTCTACATGCTGGAGAAAAGATCCAAGGTGTTCGTGGAGGGTCCAGATACCATGGAAGTCGTGGCGCCCCTGTAGTTGCTGGAGGAGATCAGAGCCAATGAGAGGCAGTTTTGGGCCTACCAGGATGCATTGGATCAGTTGCTGGATGCAGGCAAAGTGGTTGGTGGTGAAGTTTTGGCCACCGGGGCAGACAGGGCAGAGACAGCCGTCAGTGCGGTAGTCGAGAAATGTGAACATGTCCGTATTTGTTACAATCATAGCACAGAACCGGATTGGTGTAGGCTCGAAGCAGCGGTTGAAGCTGTCGTGTCTGGCTTTGTCCCGATCTGAGGTTGGCTGTTTGCCCATGACCAATTGGTAGTAGTATTGACGCCGGGCCATTGCCGCGATCGCCTTGTTGGACCAGCGTTTCGTTGATTTTTTTTTCTAATGTCGTCACATCGTCGGCGGAGGGCTACATGATCTGGTGTACGCTCGTCCGTGGTTTTGTATACAGTCTTCAAGTGGGCATATATACTCTATGGGAAGCGCAGTGAGGGGTTGTCGTGGGCCCAGGCGGGTTGCGTCAGAGGCGTGAGTGGGTTTGTGCTGGCCATTGAGTCGAGTTGCAGTCCCACCGGAGCTTTTAAGTTTGGCGATTCTGTCCAAGGCCTATTGTAATTCAATACGAGTAGTATCAAGCTCGAGTTGAAGAGCAGAGTAATTATCGGTAGACTTCTCGGATTGCTCGAGAGATGTGATTGGGCTTCTGTTAGACGATCTGTTAGTTGTTTGTGATCGATTTGTAGTGATTCGTGTTTGGCTAGAAGCACTTTGTGTTCGTCACCTAACTGCACATTATGACGTTTGCAGTTATCGATACCAGTTTGAATATCTTTGCGATTTTTGTTTGCAAGATATAGATCACTACGCGCCATTGTACGATGTGGTATTGTTTTTGCAGTAGAGCCAAATATTTCATCATAGGAGATGCTAAGATCCTTGATGACGTTGTTGATGGCATCCATGTGACCATTGGCGGATTCGAGAGAGGTGTATACTGGTAGTTCTGGCCAGAATTCTCTCGCAAAAGCTTGTGCCTCGCTGAGAAAAGTGATAGCTTTGGGCCAGTTGATCACCTCCATTTTGTTACGTGTGAGATTGATTGATTAAGTATGTTAAGTATTATGAACTGTAATCAATCTGTGGAGTTGTTGAGTGTCTGTGTAGTAGGGTTGTTTTAGTCGATCCGACTTGCTGTCTATGTAGTGTTTAGTATAAGTTACTATTTAGCTGTATGTTTGACTTACTATCGTGTGAAATTCGAGGCCCACAACCTGTTAGATGAATGTAAACAGATAAGAAGTAAATTCATTTGATTACCCAACTGAGGTCATACAGTGTTTTACCGCTTAGGGCAGGAATCTTTTTTTCTACTCTTGACATGGTGTCATATTGCTTGTGACATAACACCGTTCAGTTCATATGTATACCGAGCTGTATATATTCTTGAGATTGACACTGACTGATTTGTTATATCCAACAAGAGGTAACAGCTATGAGAGTGGTTAGCATCGATAGGCAAATCACGGCTGACAGATATTGCTAAACTCTACTGTGCTGGCGAGTATACTCCGACTGCAAAATGTGAACAAACATAATTCAAGGGTGCGGTGTTTGCAAACCACTACAGATATTCAAACACACATATGTACCTATTACTCGGAACAGGTGATATTAGATCCCGATAGTTACAAAATCAAATATGCTAAAATTCTGGTAAGCCAACATACAAAAAAAATATGACAAGTCCGCACTTCGCCACAGATTGCAGTAGCGTTTCAGCACCATGAATCAAAATGTATTAGTATGCCTCTACTAGCTTGTGCACCGTAGATGGACGCTGTATATTTCACAGTGCTAATACTGTGATCTCAGAATGTCGGTCGGATGGAGAATAACGCAAAGATTGAAGTAGGAGAAGAATGCATTGGACATCCAGTCCTCGAAGGCTACTATTTTTAGCACAGCAAGCAGCGTATGGAAAACCCCATAAATACAGCTCTGATCTTGATCTTACATTAACGTCAAACAAATATATCCTATGCATAAGTGAGCTAAGTAAGTAGAATGAACGCCCGGGGAATCGTAGGTAATTGAGAAATCCCTGGCCACGTTCGTAGTTGAAAGGCCTCGTACTGCATCCAGATTACACGACCAATTGATTGCTGCTGTGTACGGTACAAAGAGTATCAGAGGTAACAGCTATGAGAGGGATTCGCATCGATAGACAAATCACGACTGACAATATCATAATATAATTTGAATTATTATTGTAAGGCAAAATATTTTGGAATCTACGCCGTATACACTGGAGTTATAACGATGATATTACACAGTTCTATCACCTGAGAAAAAGTGATGCATAGGACCATAGACTACCGATTATTAAAGCTTCAATTTCAATAAACATGTTTTTGCAACAAATTGCAAATTTTTATATAGATATTCTTCATATAAACTTCAATGTTTTATACTTCTGTTTTTATAATAGGAGAGATGATATCTGCTAGATTAAAGCATACGTCAGCCACGATACAGAAAAACTGTAAATCTACAAGCTTTACTTTGTCCGCTGACATTTTTAAAGATCTTCGCACGTCGGTTTTTCCTTTATGACTCTGATCTACGAATATTTTTACTCCGGTAACAAAACATCGGACGAAGGAACAACGGAGGCCCATGTATCATATAGATGGCTATTGCTATTCACACCAATCGAAAGACATGAATAGCTAGAGGATGCATTATAAAGACGATCCCCCATTGGAGCGACATTCATAGCACATCTGGTTCCCCTTCTATGTACGTTTCCCTAACAGACACCTATCCGTAACCCCAAGCTATTTATAGCACGGCGCGCCCTTTTCTGGTTGCCCCTTGCTCATTGGTTCTCAGCCAAGTTAAATTTATTCAAACCCTGAAAACCCCAAAATTCGAACTGTGATGTTTTTTTCTGACCTTATTTATTCTATTATTTCTGATCCTATTTATTTACAAACTACGTTCACGAATACTGCTATACTATTGCATCGCATCTGTTAGTCTGTTTGAGCATCATGAGCGGCCCTGGGTCGGGGGTACGTCCCCCACCGATGTAGCAGCGTGTAATATAACTATTGCCTCACAGGAAACAGGCGTTGACTGGCAGTTCTGGCCGTGCGAGTTACCTGATCATCGTCGTAAACGTAAGAAGTGTTCTATTTGCAAACGATGTAGAGGTTGTACACCTCCATGTGTGGCCAAAAGAAACGAAGATGTAGTTTGCACAACTGATGATTGTTGTTGTAGTAGAGATATACACGCTGATCCTAACAGGAGAGGTAAACAGAAGACCAAAAGAAAGGCATCATAGGGCCCTATACGGACATCGAAAAGAGCAAGGAAGGAAGTTGTGGACGTCGAACCAGATAAAAATGATATTGACAATGGTATAGAAGCTAATCAACAAGCCGAACAGTAGCAGAATATTACAGACCTCTACTCATTACTCGGTGTCACGTCGAAGCCTGCTGATTATATTATGTCTCACGCAGCGATGTCAACGGAAATAAGTTTGTGTGTAAGGAATATTATTCCGCCTAACTTACTTACTTTGTGCTTATCTAAAAGATCGACAGCTCCTTGCGCATGCCCAGACCTTTTAGATATCAGAATCTTCCCGATTCCTTTCTTGTACTGGTGGTATTACTACGTTTGTTTGTATTATATCTTCAGCTATAGTCGTTGGATCTTCAGTCTTGTCTAAGGTAACAGTAACAACAGGGACTAACGCTCGCTCTATGACACCGTCACTGTGTGTTTGTTTATGCCTTTAACTGCTGATCGGATTTGATTCACGTCCCGGTGTGCCATCTACCGGCCTGTTTTCCACCACAAAGGAACTAGCCTTCCGTTTAGAGAGTTTCAGCTTAGGGAGTCTGCCTATTCTAAGGATTTTTCCTCCCTTATAGTCTCTCATATCCTTCTTCTGATCAAAGTGTGTACTGCATACTTTGAGGACCTTGTAATCCTCCATGCGACCATCTAACGTCTCCCGCCATGCCTCTCGCCATCTGTGTAGTGGGATCTCATCCCACATCAGACCGTATTCTGAAACACAACAACGACCGCCTGACATCTTCCTCAACTCAAAGCTGTCTAAGGTATATCTATAAGTGTGCACGTTTGCATTGTTGGAGTATGTATGTTTATGTGTAAAATTAAGTAAAACTAGGTACAATAGTCAAGTTGTAGTCAGATCGTAGTCAAATCGTAGTCAAGTCGTAGTCAAACGTAGTCAACCCGTGGTCAACCCGTAGTCAACTCGTATTTTTTTCTGTTATTTTTGAAAAAATGTCAAATTGTAGGTAGGTTTGCTTCACGTGCCCTTGACGCCGTTGTAGTCGTAGTAACGGGTACTATAGTGTAGCGTCATAGTCGTATTGATGCCCACTATCGATTGGTGCAATAATATATAGTGTCCAATTAATAGCCGGATATAGCCATATATAAGCATCGTTTGATACGTGACTATTTCTCACAGATCAGGGTCTTCAGATGAATACGGGAAAATGCAATCTTCATCGTCTCGATTTCTGTTTCATTGTAAATTGGCCATCTTTTGATAGCATCGATGTTAGTTTATACTGTACTATATCCGATACCAGCTCATCAATATGGAACCCTTATCCCTCACGCAGCTACATCCTGCCCGTAGTTATCCCGTTAGGCTTTTTGGCACAATACTGATATTTTTTTAACACTGATTTTGCCTGGATATAAAGACGAAGGAAGGTAAAAAATTACTGTCACGAGCATGTATACAAATTTGGGAACAAACTCTTATAGGCATCGGTTGGTGCTTGGCTATACGTTGCCAGAAGTGAGTATCCCTATACGAAGCGATCCACAGGTGGAATACTTGAGCAGAGAACTACCTGGAGAAGCAGTTACAGCTTCTGTTGACTCAGACATGCCGGTCTATGAGGGTAAAGATATTTGTTTCTTTCTGAATGTAGGGGCTGCTAAGACGCGGCCATTTATGTTTCGTGTTTGTATGTGCACACACGGTGTTTTAAACTCCGAGGGTCTAAGTGAGGCGGAGCTCATAACACGCTCCTTATTGATAGGGTGTGAGTACACCTGCTACCTTTAAGCGTCAAGAACAGCCCACTGTTTCAAATACAATTGAAACATATACATTGGTCTCGAGTACATACTTAACTGTGCATAAATGGAAACGCAAACAAATTCGATACCGTACTCGCCGCCCTCAAGAATGGTCTTAGAAACCATTTAAACGCCCAGTGTGAATCTTCGTTCAGGACTGCAATACGTGTATACAGGAATGCTTTAATGTACCACATGTGTAGCACTAAATGGTGATCGAATATCAGGAGACCGTGTATGTCATAATATTGCTACTGTCCTGATGATTATATACCGTTTGCAAAATGTGAACAAGCATAAGAAAGGCGGACGGTGTTTACGAATTATCACAGATATACAAGCACACATCCGTACCTGTTGCTCAGAACAAGTAGTATCAGCTTCCGGTCGTAAGGGTAACCCTATTTTGACACGGATTGCAATAGCGTTGCGGTACCACAAACTAAAATGAATTAGCATTCCTCTCCTAGCTTGTGTACCGTCGCTGAACGCTGTCTATATCACAAAGCGCTAATATCGCGAACTCAGAATGCCGCTCGGATGGAGGCTTACGCAAAGACTGAAGCAAGAGGATGATCAAGTGCTCGAAGGGTACTGTGCATGTTCACTAGATGCTGGTAGGCGATGTGTGCATGTAGCTGCCCTTGTATGGGCAATACAGCAAGCAACGTGGGGAAAGTTATCGTCAGATGAAGATGATCTGTCTACAAGCAAGCCAAGTAAGTGGAATGTATCCTCAGGCAATCATAATGACGATATTGAGAAATTTCTGACCACGATCATAGTTAAGAAGCCTCGTACTGCATTCAGCAAACAAGACCAATTGATTGCTGCTGTATACGGTACAAGAGTATCAGATATAATGGCCACGAGACCGTGAGAGGCTAGCACCGACAGACAAATTAGACAATGGCAGACTAAACAAATATTTAAACTAAATTATGATCTTTCCATGGTACTGAAAAATAGCTTTGGGAACGCCGCAAATAGTGGGGTTTGTACGGTAATATTGCAGAGTCCTATCACCTAAAAAAAAGGAAGTGATGCATAGGGCGGGCCATAGGTTACCTGATTTTAAAACTTCAATTTCAATAAACATATGATATCTGTTAGATAAAAGCATATATCAGCTACGATACAGAAGTGTAAATCTACAAGCTTTACTTCGTCTGCTGACATTTTAAAGATCTTAGCTCTTCGGTTTACCCTTTCAATATAAATACAAGAAGATGCAATCTTCTTCGTCTCGGTATTCTGTTCTATTGTAAAATGGCCGTCTTTTGAAAGCATCTTCAGTAAATAATATTTGACTCTATCCTGTAACAGCGCGTCAATGTGGAAGTCTTTATCCCTCATGCAACGACACCGTGGCAATAATTTATCCAGTAAGGCTTTTTGGCACAATTTTGATATTCTTTTATCACTGATTTTGTCTGCATATAAAGAGGAGGCAAACACGCAATGTCCCGTTTGCGGTGTTTATATTCACTCCAGGTCGCTGCCTGAAGATTGAGATTCGAAGATGTTTCTCAGAAAGACTCTGTACAGTTTCATACGAATGCTTTTGTTGCATATCCACCACCCTTGGAACACGGAAGTCTCAAGCCATTTACAAGACTTGGATTCATTAGTGCCAATGGAGTTCGCGCCGGAGTTTGAAAAACGATAACATCACCATATTTATATCGTTAAGGATATTGGACGTCGTTTGGGTACAATTCAACTCGTATAATTGGTCACAATCCCCTGCTCCAGATTGCGCCGCACTCTACAGAACCACATAACTACTGTGTCCTCAAACCCTAAGCCGACCTGGAATGAAATTCTCCCCGTGCGCCTTTAATTGTTTCATAAACACATTGAATTTCGTATTGCTCTGGATTACAGTCCAATAGCACCGATATGTTTATAATTCAATTTAGCTACAGTGGTAGAATCAACTTCAACTTTCTGCATTTGAAACTTCAGTCGAAGTTCCTCGAGTTCCTTGCTAGCCACCCTTACTTTGTCTTCTGCATACTTTACTTGAAGTGACATCGTTTCATTGAACTCTTTATCATTGTCCACCAATTTAGAGTGCAAACCATCGATTTCTATACGCCTCTTTACAACTTTAGTCACAGCGTTCCCAACAGCCTTTGATTGCGCTTTTAATTGATTTGCGGGTTCGACGAGTGTTTGTATACTAGTCCGTAGGCCAGTTCTCGATCTTTAGATCGATTACTTGTCTAAACCAAGGGTGCATCCTTTTCCTATATCTCATCTGCGATAAGCAGTAGTTGAGCCTCGCGCTCTTTTTCCTTCTCAATGTTATCCTCTACGGTGTGTGTGACTGTACGTTGGTATTCATCACGCTTCAGGGGAACAGCATCTGGTGTCAACGTGTATAGCTGATTTTCCTTACGTAGAAACTGTATATCAATTTGCTTTTGACACCATCTGTGACATTTGTATATTTCTATGTACACTGACCACCAGGCTTCATACGGCCTAACTTTGTCAACCACGTAACAAATCAAGATACTGGTTGAATTGGTTGGATAGCCATGCTTGATTGCATCAGAACAATACTCTGCCGCACACCTACCCATCGTGTAATCATTATGCGTTTCAAACGCCCTTATTACCACGGGCAGCGTCATGAAAATATATCAGTGTCTGAATACTATACAGTCATATATTTGCCAGTAGAACATATCAAGTACGATATCAACCCTCGCGCAGTCGCTTCTGCTGACTGAAAGCTGCGCAATGGCCGTTAAAGTTCGACTAGTGTATCAACTAAATCACAAATTATCCACAATCACCTGCACTGGCTGCCAGTCACGGTCGCCGCCTCGATTTACACATTACGCGATGCCATAATTACAGGGCGGTACCGCAAGGAGGGCAGGACAATCGGCCACGTACGACAGACCTAGGCAGGCAGCACCGCGAACAACAATCGGTACAACGCACAGCATCTACGCCAGCGCAAGGACAGTCACCACAAGCACACGTATCAGAACAAGCAGCTTGCTCCCACCTCTGCAGCACCACAAGTCAGCGTAGTCACGCACGATGAATCTGAGCAGGAGCCATCTTCGGCAACAGAGGTACATATTAAATCCATTCTCGCGGATGACTATAAGCAACCCGACGAAACAACCTCGACCCCACCACAATCAGCTTGGGCACTTATACCAATGTAACTCAGAGACATGAGGGTGTCCGATGATAATGTGGCACTCATGTTTACACATCCAATCAATGCAATATCGGCAATTCTTGACCCTCTGCTGACATCAGACAACCGCGTCTACATACAATTGCAGGCGAATGGTCGGACATTCAGAGCATGGGCGCGAACCTGAGTTGCATCGCACGAACATCCGCAGACCTCCTAGGACGTCCGATCACTACACCCCAAATTTCTTATTATGCTTAGCGGACAAAGATGTGCGAACTCCTCGACTGGGGACGACGGGAGTGGTTCCGATTGGATTCGGTACTGAAATCATCAACGGATCTTTGGAATTTATGAACTCGCCTGACAGCATCGACATTATTCTAGAATTAGATATGATGCCAGGCCTAGGTTTTTACAAAGGGGGTACACAGTCCCCTCTCGCTTTATTGACCTAACCGATCTCGATGACCTTCTCATATCAATGGCCCGTTGCCAAGCCCCCAACACCACCAAACCAAACGGTGTACGGGCACAACTAGATACAGAACTCTGAAACAAACGCTGCCATTGCAGACAATACATGCTGTCGTCTAAAGGGGAGCGAGGTCGCTATACTAGTGACACGCGAACAGATCATGAGCATGAGGAGAACCACACGCAACTTTGTATCCGATAGGTGGTTACCGTATGTCGACATCCAAGTACAGAAATGGTTGAACGACCTGGTTGTCATGATGCGCACGACAACGACGACAGTGAATCTACTACCGATAGCAGTTCCTACTTTCGACAATGAAGGCAAAGTAAAGAAGTTACGAGCACGTTTCGACAGGAGAGCCGTCAACGCACTCTTACCACGCGACCAGTTCTTGGTATCCAAGGACAATGAGACCATCTCCTTAAGAGTAGGAAGTATTACACACCACTAGATATATCGGCAGCAGACCGTATGCTACCTATACACATCCTTCGACGATACCTTCTTCCCTAAAATCATGACTTCGGCAGTCGCAAAGTGACACTTTGTTGTGCTCATCTTGAAGTTAAGGTACGTTAGGTGTCTGATAACCTCCTTCACTGTAGCGATGTGCTCTTCACGATTGTCACCGGCGATCGCTATGTCCTCAATGTAGTGATGTACTGGCAATCCGACTAACCTCGCACTCAGGGTGCGTTGAAGTGGCTATGTTAATACATGGGAGTGCAAACGGTGAGGATGTGAACGAGGACTAATATATGTCAGGCGTCAAGCTGAAGAGGTATCTGGCGTTGGGTTACTAAACCCAATACACAAAATTGACGCTGTGGGTAGAATGAGCTAGCAATCGAGTATTCTCGCACGAAACGTCATAAAAGTACATACCTTTCAGGCTTCCTGAAACAGCAGCCGACCGTGACTGTAATATCAGTTTCAACATTCGTGAGTGCAGAATCAGTCCATGCATACTTACATGGAGCATGAGTGTTTCGTTGTCAACTTCTATACTTCGACAGCATAAAAACATACACACGACTCTTCTCACACACTAAGTAGTATGTTCAAAGCTTCGTGATACTGCCGGCAAGCTGGACACACTCGATAATTGGCACAGGTTTTAAAATATATACACAGGTTTTTTCAGCGGTTTAGGAATTCAGACTATCTGCTGCATTGTAAGCAAATGCTTAAAATTGAATATTAGTGAATCTCATATAGTCGTATATTCCAGAAGGTCGTGTACACTATTAAATTGCGAAGACGTTCGCTTGTATACCGCGTTTGTTCACAATGTGAGATTCGTGTACAAAAGTATAGTTGCACACTTTGACGATTCATCATACTATCGTACTGCACTGACCATATGGCTACATATCAATTCCAAAAATCTTGATGCGCAATAGAAAAGCATGCTCGGTCTGTTGCAAAGGAACACTCAACAAGCGACAAATGTCAACGCGTGTTTCAAATTAGCACTACACAATGCACTCAATTAACACACCGCAAACAATACCACACACGGTCATTCAGCTGAAAATTTGTAAAATACAGACCTTCTTCATATGACAATGAAGGAATATCACTAGGCACGCAGCATAGGCGTATCAATCGAGAACCATGCATGTGATAAACAAACAAACAAACGACAAAAGCACAGACAAACAAAACAATTGATGGACCAACGAAAATCACCCCACCCCCCTCTTAAACACATAAACGAATAAACAACACACAAAAAACAATCATCAATAAACAAATGAACAACAAGTGAATAAATGAATGGAATAAAAAGCGAACAAATAAACAAACAAACAAACACACTGAACAACTGAACGAACACATAAGATATGGGGAAAACGTCACAGACACACGCATGTCTGAAGCATACCAAAAATCAGAGACTCGCCATCGGACACTGATTAACAACTTACATCCACGTCTTCATACTCACATCATGTACCGACGTAATCACACCCACGAGATAACACCCGCTGCAAACCACTCTGTGAATGACACGTTACACCATGTACACGGCGTACGTGGCACTCCAAGACGGCTTACATACGGAGTCTTTGGCGTCCATGTTGACCCTCCACTGCAGAAGAAGCTGCACCACTTCTTTGTGACCACTCATTTCGGCATGAAGCAGTGGTGTTATCTCACCCTGACGGAGTGAAAAAAGAAACAGTCGTGCACTGTGAAAACGATATAGTATAGAAATAGATAGTATTACATATATAACATTGCTTCGGTAAAAAAACAAACTAGAAAGTATATATTTTTAATCGTACTATCTTCGCACACAATACACAAAACTGATGCTGTGGGTATAATTAGCTAGCAATTGAGTATTTTTACACGAAACGTCATATAAGTGCATGAGGACTCTTCTCACCGCCTATTTAGTATCATCTAACTTCTGTGTTACTGCCGACATGCTGGACAGACACGATAATTGGCACAGGTTCAAAAATATATACACAGGTTGTGCATCAGTGAAGAAGATGAGACAATCTCGCTGCCCTTCCATACGACCACCGCAAAGAGTCATTTAGACTATCTGCTGCATACTACAGGCAAATGCTTGAAGACTCAGTGTTAGGGAGCCTCATATAGTCGTAATCAAGTAGGCCGTGTACATGCAATCAAATTGCGGAGACGCACACCTGGCATACCGTGTTTGTTCACAATGCGTGATTCGAGTCCGAAAGTACATTTGCACCCCTTGACGATTCATCATACTATTGTACAATACTGAGCATATGACCATATAAGAATTCTACGAATGTTGATTCCCAATATAAAATTATGCTCGATCTGTTGCGAAGAAACACGTTGATCAACAACCGTATCAATCGAAAACCATGCATGTGGTAGGCAAAGAATTACATAACAAACGCACAGACAAACAAAAAATTGGAGTAACCACGAACAACTAACAAACAACAACCAACAAACAATAAACTTAAGAACAAATAGGCAAACAAATGAATGAACAAACAAGCGAACAAACCAACAAACGAACGCACCAAACACAGCACGAGCAAGCTGACAAACAGACAACATACAAAAGCATTGACACACACGGTCAAATGATGCAGCCCGTATACTATGTAGATACCTACTACATATTCATCGATAACGCGAATGTATCTACGCTTTCAGTTATATTGACCATCATTTTATGGCTCACTATGTAAGTGTACTTCGTTTAATGGGTAGACACATCGACAGAGATCTAAACTAGTCACACAACGAGTTCGTCACTCAGGCGTGACATATCAAATCATAGTTAACGCCTCTCACACAACAATACCAGCATTGTTCACCAGTTTGACAGATTGTATCATTTTGAAAATGACACGAATTTTCTCCCATCCGTATGTACCAAGATATGCTCAGCATATATACGGATATATCTGTATCAATATCTGTAATAGAAAACCGAGGCATTCTATCACTTGCTGCTACACTACTACCGAGCATTATGACTTTACCATGGCGTAGCTTCAAGTACAGGAACAATATGCCTTGCGACAGTGTACATAGAACAAATCGATAAATCACACATATGATATAGGGGAAATGTTACAGACCCATGCATATCTGAAGCATTCTGAAAATCAAAGATTCGCCATCGGACATCGAGTAACAACTTGCATCAACGATTACATGCTCACACCATGTACCCACCTGCTTACACACGCTCAAGATATCACTCGCTGCAAACGACTCTGTAAATGACACATTGAGCCATGCACATGGCGCGTGAGGTACTTCAAGGCCGCTTACATTCGTTGTCTTTGGCCTCCTCGTTGGCATTCCACTCCAGGAGCAGCTCCGCAGCTTCTCTGTGGCCATTATAACAAGCTGTAAGCAGTGGCGTCATCCAATTCTGACAGTCGTGCACTATGAGAACCAAATCACATATGTTACTTATGCAGGTGTGCACCCACCACAACACCCGCCATCGCAACAGACTATATAGAGACAGTTAATAATACACAAATAATGAGTGATATGCAGAAATGCCCAATTTCATTCACGGTAAAACTAGAAGAAGCGCGTTGAAAATCGTCACATTGGAGCAGAGGTCGATAATCATTCGAAATACAGCACCACATATCTTCATTGTGAACTACTGTCACAGACCACCGCACAAACTGAATTAGTACAATATTGCTTCGGCGAAGAACAAAAAGGAAAGCACATATTTTGAATCGTACTGCAAAACTGACGCTATAGGTATAATAAAAAGAAATAGAGTATTCTCACACGAAACGTCATGAAAGAGCACGACTTTTACACTTCTTTGAAACAACAGCCGACTATAACTGCAATATCAGTATCAACATTCGCGAGTGCCTAATTAGCCCATGCATACTTATTGGAGCATAGGTGTGTTGTTGTCTATATTTGGAGAGTATAAAAAATATACACGACTGTTCTCTCCACCCAAGTAGTACGTTCTAACTTTGGTGCTATTGCCGACAAGCTGGACACGCACGATAATTGGCACAGGTTAATTGCGTAAAACTCGATTTTTTAACGCGATGCCATTTTTGGCAATGCTTGCGCACGGCAATGCTTCGGAACCAATAGTCTGTTATTCTCAAGTAATAGCGTGTTTGAAAGCAAATATCCAAAAGAACAAGCCTGGAGCAATATAAATAACATATTGACTAATAATAGTAGAGTTATATCCATGAGAGTACACCTAATGTTTTGCACTCCTTGACGATTTTTCATACTATTGTATTGCACTGGTCATATGGCTACATATCAATTCTACGAATCTTGATGCGCAATAGAAAAACATGTTCGGTCTGTTGCGAAGAAACACTCGACAAAAAGAAACAATCAACAACCGTATCAATCGAGAACCATGCATGTGATACACAAACAAACAAACAATAAACAATCATAAAAACAAAATAACAGGCCAACGAACAACTAAATGAACAAATGAACGGATAAATAAGCGAAAAATCAAACAAAACAAACAAAACAAACAACAAAACGCACGAACACACTGACAAAAAAAACAAAAACTACTGGCAGTCAAGAAAATATACTAACGGACGCATGATCGAGCTCGTATACAATTAAAACACGTACTATATATTTATCGGTAATGCGAATGTTACTAGGCTTTTATTATTTTGACCGTAATTGTATGGTTCACTATGTGAGTGTGCTTTGACTACCACGTACACACATCCACAGAGATCTAAACCGGACACACCACGAGTTCGCAGAATTGACTCAGGCGTGACAACTCAGATAATTTTGAACGTGTCACACACGTGACCATAAGGATTGTTTATCATCGTGACAGACTATATCAGATTAAAAATATTACGAGTCTTGTCTCATACGTATGTACGAAGATATGCACAGCATATATACGGCTATTTTTTGTTCGAGAATAGAAAACCAAGACATCCTATTACCTGCTGCTACACTACTACCAAGTATCATGTCTTTACTTTGTTACTTTGGCGTAGCATCAAGTACAGAAACAATAAGCATTCCGACAGTGTACATAGAGAAAATTTAAAAATCACACATACGATATGGAGTAAACGTCAATGAAACACACATGTCTGAAGCAAACGGAAAACAGAGATTCGCCAAGGGACATTGACTAACAACTTGCATCAACGGCTCCGTATTCACATCATGTACTCGCATGTATACGCACACACGAAATAACAATCGCTGCATAGCACTCTGCAAATGACATATTAGACTATGCACACTGTTCGAGACCGCGTACGTACTTTGTCTTTGGCCTCTACGTCGGCATCCTTCTCTAGGAGAAGCTGCACCACTTCTTTGTGGCCATTCAGACTAGCATAGTGCAGTGCCGTGCGCCCATTCTGGCGAAATGAAGAAACAAACAGTCGTGCACTGTGAGAACCACATCACTGCTGTTACGCATGCAGCTGTGCACCCACCGCAACATCTGCCATCACAACCGGTGATATAGCTGCAGATAGTACTACTCGGATATCGCGTGATATACAAATAAGGCACTTTGATACAACATATTAGTATTGGTCTATAGCACAAACCTGCACCGCAATACCCAATATCTTTCGCAGTCGCACTCCAAGTAACGCGCTGAAATGAGTAGGTTGGAACAAAGGTTGATAGCATACGAAGCGCTGTATTGATCACAGTGACAACAGCACACGCGGCAATGGTGTAGTTAACTCAGTCTGTATATATACAGAATCAAAACTAGACTATCCACATACAATACAAACACTCCACTTTAATGCCCGTAGCTGCTCAAGGCCACAACACAAGTAGCGCAGAGTGCACATTGTGCATAAATGAACAGAAGACAAATCTTGGAATCTATGTCAGGAGGAAACATAAACGGCAAAACAATGAGCATATCAGGCAAGCTTTACTTTTAGACGTCAGAATCTTTTTAAGGTGAAAAATCCCTAAACCCTAAAACCCCTCCGTCCTGTATACCAGTGACATGAGGCCATCGAGATTGAAACAACAGCGTCAAACAGGACATACACCGCTAAGTGTCTATGATCAAACTACTACAAATATGGGTGTACTGTAGGTGTCAATCAGTTCTGTGCTCTATAAACATAATCAGTTTGAGAGTGGGATCATGGAGCAAGTGTCAATGCTGTTAAAAAGAACATGATATTTACGCCAATGCCCACCTACAACACAGATTGCGCATACACACCATGATAAGGAAAACACAAGAAAACATCAAACATTTATATATCATGATACGAACGGTCTCCTCCCTGGCGAAGAAAAAAGAGCACTACATACGTTTAACAAAGAGTCTGGGTCATTGCGTGCTAAAGTGGTACGAATAGATATTGAATACCACAACTATACTACACCACTTGCAATGCCATACTGACTACATATCAGTGTACCTAGCGAGTATCACAACTATACTACACAACTTACAATGCCATACTAGCTTATTACCAGTGTACATATGTAGCCACTGGAAATGAAAACAAGCAAACAAACCAACAAACTAAATATCAACCATGAAAAATAAACGAACGATCCGTAGCAAACAGACGAAGGGACGAACAAACACACCAACAAACAAACTAACATACAGTCGAACAAATAATGATGAAAAACATAGTATACAAACGAACAGACGAACAAACAAACTAACACACAGACGAACAGCGCAGCATACAAACAAGCGGACGAACATACACACCAACTGAAAAAAATATACATACAGACGAAGCACTAATGGAAATAACACAATATAGCTGCAGCAAAGAACAAGCTGGAAAGTGCACATTTTGAATCGTATTATCTTTGTACATTTTTCCACAAAACTGACACTGTGGGTATAAATAGCTTGCAATAGAGTATTTTTACACGAAATGTCACATAAGTACATGACTTTCAGACTATCAAAACAACAATAGACTATGACTGCAACAATAGTTTCAACATTCGCGAGTGCCGAGACAACCCATGCATACTTATACTTATTGAAGTATAGGTGTGTTGTTGTCAACTTCTATACTTGGACACATAAACCATACACACGACCCTTCTCACCACTCAAGTAGTACATTCTAACCTTTGTGCTATTGCCGACAAGCTGAACACGCACGGTAATTGGCACAGGCTGAAAAACATGAACACAGATTGTGCAGCAGTTCACTAGATGAGAAAATATCGTTGTACTTCCATACGACCACCGAAGAGAATCATGTAAACTATCTGCTACCTCCCGCAGGCAAACGATAAAAAACTAAACGATATGTTTTCATGTCAAATAGCAGAGACGCACACCTGGCATGCCGTGTTTGTACATAATGTGTGGATCGAGTACGAAAGCACGTTTGCACTCCTTGACGATTTTTCATACTATTGTATTGCATTGGTCACATGACTACATATCAATACTACGAATCTTGATGCGCAATAGAAATACATACTCGGCCTGTTGCGAAGAAACACTCGAAAAAAAGTAACAATCAACTACCGTATCAATCAATGTGATACACAAACAAACAAACAATAAACAATCATAAACGAAATAAATAGAATATGGCTTCGGCAAAGAACAACTTGGAAAGCGCATATTTAGAACCGTACTATCTTCGCGGGGTGGAATTAGCTAGCAATTGAAACGTCATATAGGTACATGATTTTCAGACTTCTTGGAAATAACAGCCGACTGTGACTGTGACATCATCAATTTCAGGGAACAAACAAACATACAACAAACGAACAGACCAGCAAAAAAATGACGGACCAACGTAAAAATTGTAATCGGACAAACAACAAACAACAAATAACAATCAATAAACGAACAAATGAATGAATGAACAGATAAACAAATGAGCGAACCACTGGGCGAACAAACTGACACACAATCAAACAAAGATACAAAATCACTGACAAACATGCAGACCTATTAACGAACAAATGATGCAGCTTGTATACCATGTAAATACGTACTAAATATCTATCGGTAACGCGAAATAAATTTTTTTTTTTGTTATATTGACCTTCATTGTATGGCTCAGAGTGTACTTTGACTACCGGGTAGTCACATCCACAGAGATCGAAACCAAACGTACCATGAATTGGCAGAATTGACTTGGGCGTGACAGCTCAAAAGCATAGAACACGTCTCTCTCACATCAATATCAGCATTGTACACCATCATGACAGATAGAACCACCATATAAACAAACCGAGATTTCTGTGGGACTCATGTACCCTGACAAGTCTAACACACATACCCATGTATTTAAACTAGATATCAAGGACAGACATATTTCATCAAACGTTGCTATACCACTAAGAATATGTGCATTATAACTCTGATTTAGTCATACAGACCGAATCAATAAACCTTACGACAGGGTATATAAAGTCAATCAACAAAACAAAAATAAGGGAAAATTGACTGCGACACGCGCATGACTACAGAACACCTGAAGTTAAGTGATTCATCTTAGACCCTCAATGATAACTTGCAACGACGAAATTAGCAGACTCACATCATTTACGCAAACGTATGTACACTCACAACGATTAAAGAACATATGTGTGGTACTTCATGAACTTTTACCTACGTTGTCTTTGGTCTCAATGTTGGCATCACTTTCCAAGAGTAGCCGCATCACTTCTTTGTGACCTGCAATACAAGCAAAATGCAGTGGCGTGCATCCATTCTGACGGAGTGAAGAAATAAAAATCGTGCACTATATGAGAACCACATCACTGTTGTTACGCATGTAGTTGTGCAACCACCACAACACCTGCAATCACAAGCGATGATATATGTACAGATAGTACGCGTGATATATAGACCTGTCACTTAGCTGCGGCAGATTTAGTATTGGTGTATTGCACAAACTTGCGCCGCAATGCCTGATTTCTTCACAACTACACTACGTGTAGTGAGATGGAATACGTAGAAAAATGGGAACAGAGGTTGACATCATTAGAAATGCTTGGATGACCACGGTGCCAACAGTACACGCGGCATCTCAGGGTATCTACACAAGGTGAAATCGTTGACTGAGCTCATAACTTTCAACACCCGTGTTATCGTTGACTTCTACTCCTTGTGTGAGGTATCTCGGACACGGCGCACATCTCCATTTCCGCTAGCAACATGTATACTCGCCATCTCATATTCTTCTATTCGTGTTGCTCAATTAGAAGTCAGTATAATTTTTATTGCTAAGTACTGGTGATTAGTATACGCATACAACGATGCTGTATTGTATTGAAACGTGTCTCGCCTATCAGAAGCAAGAGCCACTCGCCACTTGATCTTGCATTCACGTATAATGTGTGTTGCAGATGAGTGTATAGTCTAAGGTGTATTGCGGTGGGGTGTATAGTCTAAGGTGTGTTGCAGTGGAGTGTATAGTCTAAGGCGTGTTGCAGTGGAGTGTATAGAATAAGGCGTGTTGCAGTATTTGGTCCGTTGCTGTGCTTCGCTGTAAGAGAGTGAAGTGCTGCAACGAACGTGGGCAGTGTTTATTACTGTCGACTGCAACCTACGACGCTTCACACGAAAGCGTCCCGCCAGAAATTATGCTTGCCTTTTTCGGGTATTTGTTTATAGAAAAATTCCCACCAAAAATGTAATCGCAACGATCAGTCCCGAACTGTCAAATAATTAAAAAGTAATTTGTATGTGTATGTACAATAGGGTTTTCTAATCACAGCAGGGGTAGGGTGAAGCAATACTGTTTCATATATATATATGCATCTTGCTGTGGAGATAACTCGTGTATCTGCAGTCGGCTGCCTGTGAGTCATGCGCATGAACATGCAGTGCATACACGCGCTTAAGTTAGAATAAATAAACACAAACCTACAATTGTATTAATAAACATAAAACTATTATTGACATCGCAGGGCACACACTTAGTGCTGTATTTCCAATAATCATTCACACACATAGATCTGTGCACAGTGTTTCTATAGCAACAGGTGATGTCGTTTGCCATAGGAATAGTGCTGGCGGTAGCACTATGTGTGGGATACGAAGTATCTGTGGCCCTTCAATGGAAGGAGATGTTCTTTGCGCGCAATCGCATAGGTAGAAATAAGTTTAAACCAGCGGTGTTGAAAGATACATACTTTACAACTACGTGGAAGAATGCCATACAGCTGTTTGATTTCGGACGATGGGCCCCCGAGATTGTTGGAACTAAGTTCGTCACGGTATATATATATTTATGTACGCATCTTTATTTGCAATTTCGAGTGATGATTTATCTCAGGCTGTGTGTGAGTATTCATATGTACTTGTTCTGTATATGGGCATCTGGGTTTGATTTTGTCCAGTCAGGCTGTTTAAAGAAGTGAATTTGTGTATATATCTTATTTTGATCGCCCATAATGTGATTACATGAGTGTGCTTATTGACGAACATATAAATTTAGATATAGTTGTTGAAATGTATATTTTAAAAACATATTCAAACACAAACCAACACACACACACACACACACATACACACACACACACACACACACATACACACACGCACACACATACACACATAAACACAACATACACAAATACACACATACTCACATGTACACAAACATATTTATACATATGTACAAACATAGACACACACACAGGCACACATATAC